CCTGTAACTCCCCCCCCCTTCAAACGTTTCCTAAGGAGTCCAAGCTGATGTCCTCATGATGACCTAGATGGCCAAAAGCTTGTGGACCCCCGAACATCGCACCTTCTATGAGTTTGTTGAACATCCCATTCCAAAACCATGGAGTCCCCCCCACCGCCATGGCCATTGTTGTGGAGTCCCCCCCCACCGCCATGGCCATTGTTGTGGAGTCCCCCCCACCGCCATGGCCATTGTTGTGGAGTCCCCCCACCACCATGGCCAGTAATATGGAGTGTCCCCACCACCGCCTTGGCCAGTAATATGAAGTTGCTCCTCTGCAGCTAGAATGGCCTCCACTCTTCTTCAGTGGAAAGCTTTCCACAAAATTTTACATCACCTGTTGGAATTTCTCAATTTTTGAGGCCAAGTCCTGATGTTGGGTGAGAAGATCTGGATCACCTTCAGCATTTCAGTTCTTCCCAAAGGTCTTCAGTAGGGTTGAGGTCAGGACTCTGTGTAGGACACTCGGGTTCCTCCACACCAAACTTCTCCTCACACTTATTCCAATTCATCCCATTGGTGTTCATTATAGTTAAGGTCAGGACTCTGTGGAGGCCATCCAAGTTCCTCCACACACAACTGGTACTCACAATCGGCATTCCAGTTCTTCCCAAAGGTGTTCAGTAGGGCTGAGGTCAGGGCTCTGTGAAGGACACTCAAGGTCCACCACACTGGTCACACCATGTCTTTAGGGAGCTGGCTTTGTCCACAGGGGACAGTCATGGTGGAACAGATAAGGGCCTTCTGAAGGTTGGGCAGATACCGTTGCCCAAAGTTGTCCTTCTATACTTTGCCTATCCCCGTACACTGGACGCACCTGAACTCGAATGTGTGGAGAGCTGCCCATGTAGTGTATAATGACGTGACCTTGACCAATCAGCACGAAGTTTGTGTAGACATCTTTAGATTGCAGGGACCCCATTGGCTGATTTCCTAACTGTTACTATTTGTCCGCAGGTCTGCCGAAGGACGTATAGGAGTCAGTGTCACCTAGAGGGTAAAGACTTCTCATGGTGAGACGGGAACCGCTGTCTGGATTGGAACAGGAGAACGTCGTCGGGGACCTCTGGCATGGTATTTAACCCTACTGACTTGTGTGACCTGCGTCGGCCTGTGAGCGCGTTCCTCACCTCCACCATGGAGTGGAGATAGTAAGACGACGTTCGGCATCTTTGAAGAACATCTTGGCTCACCGAGACGGTGGGGGTGGATACCATGGAGGCCTTTGGGCCGGTCATGCTGTACTTGCTCCAAGTCCAGGAGAACGAAAAGAACGACAAACCTCAGCCAAAGCCGAAGAAGAACCTTAGGCCTCTACCTGTGGAGAAACCTCGGCCTAAGCCAAAGCGGCCCTCGGCGCCGAAACCTCAGATGCTGGGGATCCGGCGGCCGCGGATATTCAGGGAGCGCACGGGGATGGAAGGCCTGACCGACGAGGAAGTCCTGCAAAGGTTCAGACTCACCAAAAGCACCATTATAGACTTGTACGAGTTGATCAGGTCGGACATTGACCCGCTGACGCAGAGGAGCCACGCCATCCCCGGGATTGTCAAACTCTTGAACTGTCTTCACTTCTTCTCTTCCGGGTCCTTTCAAACCAAAGCATCGGCCATCGGTGGCGTCTCGCAGTCCACCTTCTCGCGGTTCCTGGTGCCGGTTATCCAGGCCTTGAAGAAACACGTGCACACCTTCATCAGCTTTCCCAAAGACAAGGCCGGCTGGCAGAAACTGAAGAGCGACTTCTACGAAGTGGCCGGCGTCCCGCACGTTATGGGGGCCCTGGATTGTATGCACATCGCCGTCTCGGCGCCGCACGAGCGGGAGGAGATCTACAGGAACGCCGAGGGCTACCATTCGGTCAACGTGCAGATGATTGTCGACAGCAACTGCAAAATTCTCAGCCTGTTCTCCGCCTTTCCTGGAAGCTCCCAGAATTCCTCCATCCTGAGACAGTCCTCCGTGTACGAGGGGTTTGAGAACGGCAGGCTGAGCGGGGGATGGCTGTTGGGTAAGTCATCGCCACACATAGAACAAGCCTTCCCCCACCCCTTCCATAGGTGGAGGTCACCAAGAGGTTTTAAAGGGGGCGGAGACACAACTACTGGGGGGAATCTCACCATTGTGGGAGGGGCAGAGACACAAACTACTGGGGGAAATCTCACCATTGTGGGAGGGGCAGAGACGCAACTACTGGGGGGTAATCTCACCATTGAGGGGGGGAGGGGAGAAGGACCACTTTGAGGAACATGTGGGAGGAGGGGAGAAGGACTACTTTAGGAACGTGTGTGAGGGACTACTTTGAGGAACGTGTGGGAGCAGCGGAGAAGGACTTCTTTTAGGAAGGAAGGGAGAAAGACCACTTTGAGGAACGTGTGCGAGGAGGGAAGGTCTACTTTGAGGAACGTCTGGGAGGAGGGGAGGAGGACTACTTTGAGGAACGTGTGGGAGGAGGACTACTTTGAGGAACGTAGGGGAGGAGGACTACTTTGAGGAAAAAGTGGGAGAAGGGGAGGAGGACTACTTTGAGGAATGTGTGGGAGGAGGACTACTTTAAAGTGGGGGAGAAGGACTACTTTGAGGAATGTGTGGGAGGAGGGGAGAAGGACTACTTTGAGGAGGGGAGGAGGACTGCTTTGAGGAACGTAGGGGAGGAGGACTACTTTGAGGAACGTAGGGGAGGAGGACTACTTTGAGGAACGTAGGGGAGGAGGACTACGTGGGAGGAGGACTACTTTGAGGAACGTGTGGGAGGAGGGAGAAGGACTACTTTGAGGAATGCGTGGGAGGAGGACTACTTTGAGGAATGCGTGGGAGGAGGACTACTTTGAGGAACCTGGACTTGTTCTTGAAGCCTTTGATGAAGTAAGATGAATATATCTCCAATATGTCTTTTGTTTCCAGGCGGTCCCGTGTACGCATGCCGTCCGTGGTTGTTGACACCGGTTCCAGAGCCCAGCACGCCAGCAGAGACGGCCTACAACGAGGCCCACGACAGGACCCGTGCCATCATAGACGAGACCTTCAAAATACTGAAAACCCGGTTCAAGTGTTTGGACAAGTCCGGGGGCGGTCTGCAGTACGACCCCACCAAAGTGTCCGACATCATCGTGGCCTGCTGCATCTTACACAACATCTCCATCCTTCACAACATTCCGCTCAAGAGCGAGGAGCCCCCCTACCTCAAGGGGAAGCCAATGCCAGAGCTTCAGCCACCCCCCAGAGGAAACGCTCAGGATGTCCGCGCCAGGGTGATCGAACAATACTTCTCTTGTAAGCCGAATCCCTTCCTTGATGTAGAGGGAGCGGGTGGGCGGGACTGAACAGCTCTTGCTCATTGTACAGGAGAGCGTGGTGCTCCACAACACATATCGGTTTTGTTCATCTGTTGTGGTGCGTTGGCAGCCCATTCATGAGTGTCAATGGGCCCTAGAGCTAATTTGGCTGATTCACACTTCAGCCTTTTTACTGCCTCCACAATTCACCACTCTCTGCCAACAGTTTGACGACAACAAGAGCCAATCTCACCCTGCTTCCTCCACCACACTCCTCCCAACCATTTGACTGACGGCAAAAAGAGCCAATCTCACCCCTGCTTCCTCCACCACACTCCTCCCAACCATTTGACTGACGGCAACAAGAGCCAATCTCACCCCTGCTTCCTCCACCACTCTCCTCCCAACAGTTTGACTGACGGTAACAGGAGCCAATCACCCCATTGCCTTCAGCATGCCCTGCCCCCCCTGAGGCCAGAAGGTTCAGGGAACATCTTCCTGGACCTGGTGGAGGTGACAAGCAACCAGAGGTAAGTGTTTGGACACGGGGGAGCATGGAAAGGTACTGGGTGTTTTTTTTACCTTAACGCAGAGAACGCCTGACTTTTAGTACTACTTTAATAGACCCCTAACGCTTCCATGAAGAGGACCTGTCAAAAAAATGACTATTACATGGGGAGTTTCACAATAATGGTAATAAAGGTAAGTTGGGGCTCACCGCAGGACGCCGTGCCCACACATTCCTAGCCTGGCCCTCCTCTGCTTCAATGACAGTGGCCTCACCTCCACAACAGAGCCTAGTGATTGTAGCCAGGACCCTCAGAATGAGGGTTGGGGAGAAAGCCTGTGTGGTCATGTGACCAATGAATAAGTGGTCCAAAGCAGCCATTGTTCTAACTAGGGATGCACCGATATATCGGCCGCTGAAACATATCGGCCGAAAATTGCACTTTTGGCATAATGCCGAAAAGTGCCATTTTCCTGCTGATACATCGGCGCATCCCTGCTTTCTCTCCTCCCCGCTTGGCGCTGCTCTGTGTCCCAGCGGGGAGGAGAGAAACTGTGATGGCCGAGCGCAGCGGGAGGTGAGCGGCCGGCGTCTCTCCCACACCGCTCAGCCTCCTGTCAAAGTCCGGCAGAGCGGTGTGGAGGCGGAGACAGCCAGCGCTGTCACAGGAGGATGAGCTCTCCTCCCTGCACCGCTCGCTTCTGTGACAGAAAATGGTATGGTTAATATTTCCTCAATTATGAATGAATGGGAAGTGATCTACATCGCTTCCTGTTCATTCATGATTGTGGTTCTACATCACTTCCTGTTCATTCATGATTATGGTTCTACATCACTTCCTGTTCATTCATGATTGTGGATATAGTAACCATACTCTGTCCTCATTTTATGAATGATCAGGAACACTCAGTATAGAGGATTCCATGTTCATTGATAACTTGGGCTGCAGAAAAAGAGATTGAGGACTCTGTGTCCTAAATCTCTTTTTTCTTTTTTAAAAGGGAAATCTCAGGGGTCTGTTTTAGACCCCCAATATTTCCCCAAAGCACCTAAAAGTAATGTAAAAAATAAAAATATTTAATAAAAATTAATTAATAAATTAAAAAAATATAAAAGTTTATAAAAAAAATAAAATATTATTTAAAATTTGAAAAAATTAAAAACATATTTGGTTTTGGCCTGACATTTTTATTTATTTCGGTGTCGTTTTGGTTTTGAAATTTCCATTTCGTTGCACCCATAGTTTTTGATCTTGAAAAATCCTTCAGTATTCCCGCATATCCACCACACAAATATAAAAAAAAACTCGTAGTGTAAAATTTGTGGGTGTCTCCTTTAGCTAGCAGGGTGCTCAGGAGACACCCATGCATGCGTGTTCCCAGCTGGGACCTGCACCTAGCCACTTATGTCCATAGACACACACGATGTGCGCCAAGCCACCCGTGCTTCACTGCTCTCCTCCCAACCATTTGACTGACGGCAACAAGAGCCAATCTCACCCCTGCTTCCTCCACCACTCTCTGCCAACTCTAACTGTCACTTGGCATTCAACACATTGCGATGTTTTCTAGCGTGATATAAGAACTGTGGAGACATTCGTGTCGTTGGCTTTGTGCAGTGGGAAGTTCCATTTAAAACTCCCCCCTGTTCTCATACTACCCACCCACCCCCCCACAC